AACGACTGATCATCGTTGATCAACAACTTTCGTAAAATAGTTTTTGGATAACAGTATACAGTATATGTTTGAAAAATTTACTTCTATCCACAAAAACATGCAAGTTTGAAAAAGTTTATTCAGACAAAGGAAGCATTAGAAATCCTATGCAACCCTCTTCCAAAGAAAGTGAAGTACTTTCAAAAATTTTCCCATCTTCTTCAATGTGCAAAAAGTGGGGAAAAAACAAGTCGAATGTCGAAGAGCACCTGGGCAGGACCGCAATGCGACCGCGTATAACGGAGAAGCCATACTGTATTACGTATTTATCTTTGAGCGTCCTCTATCGGGACCTGAAAGCAAAGCGGCATAGAAACGCCAATTCAAAATGTAGATGTCATGGCAAGATACTCACGTGTAATCCTGTTCAGTTCAAGAACTTAAACCATGGATATATTTAAACATAATTGTGGACAATCATCCGTTCTATTTCTTCGTCAACCATAAAAGTACCCTAACAAGTTATAATCCTTTGGCTTCAACGAACTAGCTATAATAAAGTGGACAGGAAGAAAAAATTATCCTAGAAATGCGTTTGGCAGTAGATACTGTGCAAGTAAAATCATTTGTAACATACTATATTGCCATCACAACCTACACGTTATTGATGTATTTTTCAATTTCCGGATTACAGCAGTTTTGTTTGACAGCATAAAAAAACCCTAATCTCAATTCAACATTCTGTATCTTAATTCAGGTTAAATAAATTATCCAGTAATTACTGTGTAATACTATTTTAAGAATGCATTTCGAGTTTACGAGAGATCTCACCAGCGCAGTACGAATTATTCTTTTGCCTAAACATTTGCTGTTCGTGATTCGAACGCTCATCCTTGTGGTGATGATGAAAAAGAATAACAATTTTGTATATAACCAAGAAAACTTTATTCATTTCGTGCCGAAAAAAATGATGGAGAAAACATGGCGTACGCGTTTCATAAATAACGCATTATGTTATGCTAAAAAATACTTTCATTCCGTATTTGGAAAAAAACAGCGTGTTTCTCACTCAATCTTTTGTGCTGCTTCTCACGCGACAAAAATTCCATTTACAAATTGTAAACCGATTGCGTCTTCAACAACAAAAATCCCCAGTTTTGGATTTCAGCTTCATGGCTTCTTTAGTTTTCAGTTGAGCAGCTATTCTCAATATTTCGGCAATCCTTTGGTCAACTGGTGAAGCCGATTTTTGGCGGCTTTTGGTCCCCTTTGCTGAAGGACGACTCGCAAAAAGCTCCTACGAACTGTAAAACGGTTGTTTATTCATTTTTATTCGTCTTAAAGTAAATACGAATTAATATGCGAGTGGTTTTTCGAAAATATGTCGATGAGTAACACGAACTCATCATTGAAGGACTATATAGGAAAGATTGAAGACCGCATGAAAGGAGGGAAATGGGAAAACATTCGTAATTTTTGTAAATACTGCATATATTACAGTACCTCATCAACTGCTGAAATAAACAGATAAAGCAAAGCTTTATTATATTCACGTTCATTTTTCATTCAGAGTACATAAGCTAGAAAATTCACGTAAAAATCCCGTCGATTTTGTGTTGCGAAACTATTCGAATTTTCTAGGTTTTTTGTGAAAAAATTTCACTAAAAATGTATTCGAAGTTTATTCACTGTGTGTCAGTTTTCAGATTAAAATTATCCCAGATTTGCACATATATTAAAAGTTAAAAATTTCACGATTTAGTACAGCAAATTTCTGTTTTTTAAGACCAGAAATAATTTTTTCTGAATTATACTTGAGGACTCAGTAATTTTTTTTCTAACCCCAAAATTGTTAGGAAAATTCAAGATTAAAACAAGAAAGAAGTTTTCAGATTAGAAATTAGGAAGTATATCTAATAACTGTACATAACTGTGAAAAATAAATAATAATATTGTACATAATTTTTAAGGTTTCAAAAGGTTGTACTGGATTTGTTTTTTTTTTTCGCTAGTCGGTAGAAAACTCACATGGAAATGAAACGACCCATAAATAAATTAAATTGTCGGCTTCTTTCATCATCAGCAGCTCGACGTAAGAAATTCGCAGCGTACCAAATCATGACGAGAAATAATTAATTATCTTATCGATTTCCCCTTGAAAAAAAAATGAAGAGAGAAGTGTTTCAACGAATCGTCACGGTTATAATTGGCTACAGTACTTCACACTGTTTTTATTGACAAAACGTGGTTGACTCTGGCTCTTTTTCTCGGAGCGGCAGGGCTTCAAAGTCAATAAATATTGATCTTCGATTAATTCATTCATAGTCACCTCGAACTTGCTCTTTTCTTGCTGGATTGCGACTGACGCTTAGCTTGCTCGAATGTGTCCGGCATCGGTTGTCTTGCAGTTTCTGGCAGGAGCCACACCAAACACCCACTGACAATCGACAGAATCCCGCAAATTACCATGGGATACGTGAAATCCCCCGTTTTCTTGTCACCCTATAGTTATTGAAAAAAAAAAAAACGTAATCAATCAGGTAAGTGTAGGAGAATATTTACGTTAGAAATTTCTTCGTGAACCGAGAATGGGTTCTTTAAAAAAAAACAGGTGAAATTATTTCTAAATCGCCAAGTAAAAATGGATTCAGATCAACCCTTTTTGCTTGAGAATATCACAAAAAGACGCAAAGTGAAAAGGATTACGGTTGTTGATTGCTGCACAAACGCAATTTCAAGGACATTGCGTCATTTTTTACTTTTTTTTAGCGAGAAATAAGAGATTCAAGCTTGAGCTACATCTATGAGAGACAAAAAGCATCTCTATTATTGTTGTGTTCATCGCTGACATAGGGTTCGGTTAGTTTTCTTTTGTATGTCTCACAATAAGGAACCCCGAATAATGAAGGTGATCAACATGCCTTTGAGCATGTCATATTGAAAATGAAATTATTTCGAAAAGTATACGTGCAATTTTTCCTCTGCTATAAAATGTTTACTTTTGAAGAACTTCATATCGAGCATTCATTATATTAAATTCTGTGAGCAACATAAACAAAGATTAGCGTGTTCTTTATCCTACTGACTTGGAAAATAAATTTTGCACTCAATTTTCCTTTATACTGTATTGACAACGGAGAGGAACACATTCTAAAGTCATTCAATAAAGTCGCTCCTTCGCCGAACTGCTGAAGTTTATTTAGAATGTCAATTCATGAAGGAGAACAAAGAAAAAACATAAACTTTCGGTTTCTTCCAAGGAAAAAACTTGACATGCTCAATTTGCTGGCATTCTGTCAAATTTCTAAACGAACTAGAGCGTTTACAGAAAAATTCTTCCAGCTGATTTGCATAAATTTGTCTTAGGACACCTATTCAGCCTGCAACCTTGCATCTTGAATTTTTTTTGTTCATAAGTTCTGACGAGTAAAGAAAAAAATCTGTAGTAAGCTTCAAAATACTGACGAGTAACAAGAGGAAAGGGGCCAGAATTGATCCGATCCTCGCAAAAGTTGAAGACAATCCAACGCCAACATTCCTCACGACCGTCGGAATGAGTTCCGCAGTGAACAAATAAATGAGAGCGAACGAGGCAGAAATGCCAAATTTGCCCACTGTTGACAAGGCTGTGACTGGCCAATCATTGGCGAATTGTCCTGTAATTGAGAAATAGCAATGAAAAAATTAATAAAGCGTAGAATTCAGAGCTCAAATGAACCAGCTGCAGAAACCCGACCCGCAGACAATTCAGAAAGCTCAGGTCGGGGGGTTTTTCTAATTCACTTTGGAATTAATTATTAATCCAAACTCGCTTCCATTACATTTGTATGGAAAATTAAAAAAAACGTATTTCATGTCGAACCGGTCTTGCGTCAAATTGCTAAATACACAAATGCGACAACTTCTTGAAAAAAATAATTGTACTGTACATAGGTCGGGTTCAGGTATCTTTTCAAGGTCATTTATTCAACCACACCCGCCAATTGTTCTTCGAATAAGAGGCATATTACTTGTGGTATGCAGTTACTATGTACTATTCATTCGAAGAAAGGCATTTCAAAATTCTGGAATGAGTCCAGATAAATTCCAATATATTAAACACATCATACGATGCATTTATTTTAATCGTGTACTGTATATACCTTGTCTTCTTGATGGAATCTTGGATTTTTTTAAAAAGCTTTCCATGCTACACAAATCAAATTTCCCCCATTTTCTTTCAGGATGGATTAATTTGCAAGGCTCATTCACAGAAACAGGCAAGATATTTTTTTTGAGATTTCAGGTATAAAAAAAAACAGTTTGCTAAAATAAGATCATTATTATAACAGGATATAAGTGAAACAAGATTATTATTCTTTTTGCTTTATCACCAGCGCACCTTCTCTTATGTCCAGCATTTCATACTGATAGAAACAAACTTAAGAAAGACTTACTAGTATGGAATTCAATGAAGAGACCCTTTCTGAAATCATAAGGGATCAAGATAAACTGTTGACCTTATATGATTTCTCATCAAATATTCCCTCTAATTTGTTCATTCAACTAAAGCTCATACAGAAACAAGCTGAAGACCTGTGCTTTAAATTCATCTTCACATGTATTTTGTTTCCAATGTTAGGGAATGAATGGGTGTACGCATACATGTCAGATGTCCTCTTTTATTTCATGGATTATAATTTCTTTTATTTTTGTAACAATTTGTACTCCATTTCCTGCTCTGAAGTGATTAAATGTCATTGAGTGGATTTAGGTTGGGTGGGAAGGGGGTTTGGGTGTGAAAATCTTGATTGAACCTTGTGAATGCTGAAAAGCGGCAAGTAAAGTNGGATTTGGGTTGGGTGGGAAGGGGGTTTGGGTGTGAAAATCTTGATTGAACCTTGTGAATGCTGAAAAGCGGCAAGTAAAGTGTTCTGTTCATTCATTCATTCTTCCTTTTTGGAAACAACGACTTATAATGATGATGAAAAATATCTTTTTAATGGAAAGTCGTCGTAACTGGATTTGCTATAATAACGGGATTTCACTGCGTTTTTTTATTGTTTGATGCAAAATCATTCCTTTTCATTTTTGACAAACCTCGAGGGATGAAAGCAATAAGTGCACAAGCTGCTCCTCCGGAAACCATGGCGACGGAAATTAAGAGTCTCCTTCCGGCGAATTTGAGCATCACGATGATGCTCAACGCATACGCAGGAATTTCAATGGCACCTGAAACAGGAAGAAGCAATATTTCAAGTCATAAAAGTGAATTTAAAATGGCCATGCACAAATATGAATCATGTCAATGAAAGGCTACGCGTGTGTGTATAAATAGGAAGACAAAGCATCAGGTATGTACCGTAGTTCAGTTTTCAAAGGCATCCGAGTGCTAAATTATCAAGACTGTACGAGGGTTGTTTCATAAGGCTTGCGAATATTTCAAATAGACCGAAAACGGTTAGGTAAAAAAAAAAAAAAAACCTCACAAAATAACTTTTTCACGCGGCAAAACTTCAGTGCTGGTCAATACTCTCAGCCAAATTTCGATGTACGTTTTCACACGATTAATCCAACGATCAAAACAGTGGCGAAAATCAAGTTCAGACTGAAAATTTCTTGTCACCACTGCCTTGATCGTTGGATTTATTGCATGACAAAGGACATTGAAATTGGCAGGGAGTATGTTTTTAAAAGCACTGAAGTGCTGCCGCGTGACGAAGTTATGCGAGTTAAAAATAATAATAATAAATAAATAAAAACATTTAATTTACCAAACCGTGTTGTATCTACTTGAAATAGTCGCAAAACTTAAATGAAACAACCCTCGTACAGCAGTGCAATCGTTTTCATCTCGAATACGAATATTGATTTTTTTTTTAACGTCCACTATAGGTGTCGCCTAAACAGAGCGAATGGCTGAATCGCATGCGACAAAAAGGTAACCGACTGCAGCCCAATTGTTGCCTTCCTGAAACTTTTTCTTTTCACGCTTTGGGCATACATGTCGGGACCAGCTTTGAAAAGATAAAATCAAGGATATTGATAAAATTCATATTGAAGAAAACAAACGAACCCGAAAGTGCGAAATTGAGGAAGACGTTGCCTCCAAGATTGGCAGAGTTGAGCGAGAGGCCATAATAGACAAAGGCGTTGACGAACCAACACAGGAACACATTGAACATGACCTTTCGCATGTGCGACACTCGAAACAAGTCCAAGGCAGTGTGTTTCCTTGGTTCCCCACCAGATCCCGCCTCTCCAGGGGTGCCATTCTCGTCACTATCGGCTGATGCTGGTGCATTTGTCCCGTTCATTGTCGCTCCTGTTGCCGGTGGCTTTTCGTCCATCACAATGTTGCCATTGCTGGTGACGGTGAAGCCTCCAACAGAGGTTTCATTTACGGATTCGTTGCTGAGGACATGGCAGGGGTCGAGGATGCATTTTGAAGTAGGCTACAAAATCGAAGTAAAAAGATTAGAAAATTATTACTGCATCTAGAAAAAAATACCGTCCACCGGAGAGTAATTTAAAAAAAATGCAAAACATTTTTTAAAGAAAATGTTGGGTGAACAGTGTTTCCCGAAGAAAAAGCTGTTTTTTTGAATCATTCACATAAATGCTCCACAGCTTGAAAAGTCGTATTTTCATTCGACATCCAAAACACTCAAGAATATAAATACTCTGTAACATAATTTACTCAAGAATCAAACGCACTTCAAGTAAGACACACACACACCAAAGGGTTTCAGTCTATATTTTTGTTGAATGTCATCCCTCAGTATATAAGCAAAGATGTGAAAACCATTTCCAATGTCTCAATCTAAAACAGCAATATTTAAAAATGTAAGAGCACCCATATTACTGGAATTTAGACAGCACTTTTACCTGAATTGAATTAGTTTTGAAGTTTTGTTATAAATACACGTTTTTTAAATAAAAGTTTTACAAATTTCCCCATTGGAATCAAGTACTGTAGAAACTCAGAATTGAACAAATAAATCTAATATGGTATATAGCTGCCTATACTGTATGAGGCTATGACACACATTCTGCCTTCTCTTCTCATTTTTGAGGAAAAATGTACATGTGGGAATCAAGTGGATGCAGTACACTATTGCACCAACAGTCTAATAAACTATTTAGAGTACTGTATTTACTCAAGTAGGGCACATGAACTCCCCCCCCCCCAAATCTAGCTCAAAACGCTTCATAAATCGATTTCCATACTTGAACATATACTTTTTTCTACAAATATTTCAATCATATGCTTATACTTAGCTCATTCTTGGATCACTTAAAAATAAATCCCTGCAAGAAAGAGGGCGGGCAAATTGAACGCAATTGATTTCATACATTTGAGTATGCCTCAATAATGTCAGCTGTTTTAGTTCTCAATAAAATGATACACATTTTCAGAAAACATACCATTAAGCATCTTGTGGAAGGCTTCGCATTTTTGAATAATTTGAATAAATAAATCGAATTGAATAAAAACCTCACAATTAATGAATGAATATTTTGGTGAAGAGAATTCAATGATATTCTTCAACTGAGAACCTTAGAATTCGGTTAATTTAAGAAACTTTTTTGAGTTTGGTCTGTATAGAATAAATCAAATGTTTAACCTGTTCCACGGAAAGCAATTCTGTCGCAGCGCCACCTGGGGAACCTGGGATGGATACATCCTTGGTGTCCAGCATTCTGTTTTCCTTTTTGGCCTTCCTTAAAATTTCTTCAGCTTGTAAAACCCTGCCTTTGGATAACAACCAGCGGGGAGACTCCGGCAATATCCTAAAAATACAAGAGGACTCCTTAGATTTTTTGAAAATTCTGCAAAAACTCAGAAATCTCCACAGAAGCTTCAAGTCGCATTATAAAGACATTCTTGAAGAAATTTCAAAAGTAAAAGAACTGAAAAGCTATTATTCTCAGGAAATAATTTTCAGAGCAGTTTTCCTCCAGTAAAGCAATATAGTGTGATTGACACCTTAAACAAGACCAATGAAACAAGGATTATTTAAAGATTTTTTTTTCATGATACAGTTAAACCTTGATAACTCAAGCCTCCTCAAGTCAAATACCTCCATATTTCACATTTTTCCAAGCCCCTCTCTGAATCACCACAGAACTAAGCATTGAAAACCTCTGTAACTTCAATGTTTTTCCCATAACCTGAAGAACTCATATTATCTGGAGGCCTTTCAGCTACTATTTTATTGATGTAGAAAAAAGACAAGCAAAAAGACAAGCAATAGATAAAATAACTTGACTTGCTTTGAAGGAAAGTGAAAGAATGATTGGGGAAATGAACTCTTGCCTCCAAATTCAGCATCCTACGGCAACTCATATAAGAAGCAATTGAAGTGCCAGAATATTACCATTACAATTTCTGCAATTCTTCTTTTGCCAAACACAAATGCTGGCTTCCCTAACCGTAACTGTGAATTTTCCCATAACTCAAATGTTTTCTTTGTTCCTTTGAAGTGCAGATGAATTTGTATTTTGGACATAATGCAGAGAAATATAAATGATGGGAGAGGATAAGAGAATGTTTGGTATCAGGAAAATGTTTGATGTCTTCTGAAATGAGAGGGATGATTGGAAAAAATGTAGCATCCTCGGGGAAAAAGTTAAGTCAATATTGTTCAATTGGCAGTGGATGAATCACACCCACAGATTTACCCACAGTAAAGTGACAATTTTCTCTTTTTTACTCTTCTTTCTCTTCTTTACTCTTCTTTCTCTTCTTTCGCTTCTTTACTCTTCTTTCTCTTCTTTACTCTTCTTTCTCTTCTTCACTCTCCTTCTTTCCTCGGATCAGCATGACACCCAAATTTCTTCTCTTTCTTTTTTCTCAAATTATTTCCAATTCATTCATGACTCCCAGAACTAATACTATTTTTGAAACTTCCGTTTCATTGGGAGCATTGTATGAATCTCACAAATGTACAGCTCAAAATGCTTTTCATGATCTTGTATTGTTCTCGATTAGAGAAAATAGTAGGAAATATCTGTGTATCTTGTTAAATGAGGAAATTCTTGTCTGCTTGCTTGCTGGATGGCATCTGTTTGTACTGTACTGTACTTTCAATCTCTGTGCTGAAACTGTTTTGAGCCGAAATTCATTAAAAATTCGACTGGAAAGATGGAACAAATCTTCAACAACATATTGCTGAAATGAATTACTGATGAAAATTCTTGTTAAAAGTATTTTTCACCACAAATACTCAATCCACCATCCGCCATGAACACATAGATATAACATTGTGGATAATGAGCAGGAGAAAAAAAGATAATTTTTTTATGTACAGTACTGCATTAAATGAAAAGATTTGTTCCTGGCATTAATGGTTTGGTTAAGACGAAAAATGATTCTGGTTATCCATTCAAAGAATCTCAGTCCTGTACACAGCTCAGTTCATCAGAATTCATTTTTTTATTCATAATTTACAATTTTAATGTCTACTTGCAGTATCTTTCATTCCAAAACACTTTAGGTGATTTTCATTTCTGCAGCTGACCTTAGATCATTATCAAAATGCAAGTAGACTTTCTCTACAAGAAAACCAGAGGGATAAAAAAAAATTTGTAGTAAACAGAATTTTGTTGTAGAGAACCCTTATATAACATGGGGAGAGAACCCTTGGGGACCTCACACAAATTTGTTCTACAGATCTTAAGACAAGATTGTTATTGTGGTGAGTCCACCTGTAAAATAAAAGAGTGTTCAGGCAACTTATTGATTTACTGTGTCAGTGATGGACATCTTCATTGCTCATTTTGGAATGATTGACTACTAGCCTATATGTTTACACCAATGAATGGGTTTATGAAGTGCCTCAGAAAAAGAAATCAGCACATACCAGTAGAATCCGAAGAATATGACAGTTGGGATTGAAATGCAGATCTGTAGCTTCCACCAGTCCCTCAGTGCCCACGCCATTCCCGCCAGCATGATGTATCCAATGGAAAACGGGAAACAAAACGCAATCCCTATTGTTGACCTCCAAGACATTCCAATCACCTCCATGACTACAAAAACCAAGCAAGGCGAGAAAAATACAGAAATTATTATATTGCTGTAGGATCCATTTAAATTTAGTTTGAAGACCTATATATAGAATTATACAATGAGGCCCCAACGTATGAATGATTCAACTAGAAGCGGCACTTGAAACTAAAAATCTGACCCAACATCCAAACATTGTTCGAAGAATATGAAGATACACACTCTCCAACATTTCTAAAAAGATGGAAAATGTTCATTTTTAAAATTTTGGATATCTCTTGAAGAAATGGAGCTATCTATATCCACAAAAAATTAGGAACGAATCTTACATAATAAAGTTACTTGCCTCCATAAGTTGGTCAGATTGTTTCTTCGCACCCTTCCCTTCCCAGTTGCCCCCTACCTCCCTCCCACAGAGCCCCCAGAGAGGCCTGCAGGAGGGTCCCGTT